CAGATGTCAATCAGCAAGCTCTCCAAAGATCACTTATGAACTTATTAATTTCACTGGTGCAGAGGATGTGTGACACATGCTTCACAAATCATCTTAAAATACACTTCTCTCCATTGTGGATTCCACAGATCAAGTGCTGCTCACTGAATGCTTCCATGTTTTCTGGACTCACTCTGGTCTGTACTAGCTGATGGTTGCCATGGAACCACCAGTGACAAGATCAGTCAGTCTGGTAGCTCTCTGCCTCAACGCAGAGTTCACTCACAGCATTCACTGGCTCATAGTTGAGTATGGTTCTGACAAGAATGTTTGTTGATAATATTATTTTATAAATAAGACAAAAACAAAGCAGGGAGAACAATTGTGAGCATTCAGCTCCTTTGTGGCCCTTGTAGGCAAGATATGCTGAGTTCTCCTACGTGTAGTGAGCTGGCTGCGAAATATAGTGAAAAAAATCACACGACACAGAAATAATTTTGAAAAGCGAGGGCGGGATAGCTGCGACCTTAAGGTCCTGCTTCCACAATGGAAGGAGAGAGAAAGTTAGCCCATGTTGTTTATTTTTTTTTAATATTTATTTTTTAGTTTTTTTTTTTTTTTTTTTTTTTTGGTGGACACAATATCTTCATTTTGTTTTTATGTGGTGCTGAGAATCGAACCCAGTGCCTCGCGCATGCTAGGCAAGTGCGCTACCACTTGAGCCACATCTCTAGCCCCCCATGTTGTTTATTTTTATATGGGGGATACACAAAGGCTTTTCCATAGAATATTCTTCACCAAACAAGCCCACCCCCTGCCCGTGGCCAAATAAAGCAGGGGGTGGGCTGTCCAAGCCCAGTGGGTAATGCCCAACTCCGTGAGTTCCGGGGCGGCTTTGTAGTTGACTGCAGACTGATGTCACATGCTTTGCATAATAAGACACAAAATGACTTGCAATGCCAGACCAACATCTCCTTGGCTTCAAGGCCAAGTAGAGGCTATGCAAATAGCTCAGAGGTGGCCCTCTATAGTTCAGGACAAGCGGGTGTTCTTGGTGGAATGGATGCTAGTTTCCAGTATTGAAAGTGTAGATCCACACCTTTCTGTAGCTATTCACAATGTTTACACATAAACATTCCTGCATTATTAACCTTTTCCCCATGGATCCATTAAATGGAGATAATGCACAAAACAACAAACCAGCTGTGTGTTGTAGATGCCTCATGGGACTCATGCTGTGCATGGTCAGGAAGGGACCTAGAATAGAACAGCCATGTTTGCATCAGATTGTGACTCAGGATAATCCCGAAAGGATGATAGCAAAACTTGGCAGAGAGATCCTCAGGCCACAGGTCAGTCCCTGGCTCCTGGTGGCTCAGGGTGGGCTGACAGGTCCAAGAGGCAAGCCCTGCCTATGGTGACGCCTGGCTTCTACACATGTTCCTGTGCACACAGACACGTGCACATGGTGCCGAGGGAGGGTACAGCAGAGTGGCAGGGTTTGAGGCACAGTGACGGCTCTGTTCCATAGCACAACTGTTGGGGCTCCTCCATCCCACTGCCTCCCTTGCTCCCCTCCAGCATCCAGGGTTTCTCTCCTCCCCAGGCTCCTCCCACTGTCCATCCCCTTCCCATTGCTCTTCTCCTTGGTTGGTCTCTTGCCTTCCTCCTAAATCCAAACCTGTGGACAGAACTGGGCTTGGCTCTACATGACTCCTCTGAACCTGAAGTCAGAGCCTAAGGAAATCATACTCACCTTCATTCAGAGCAACTCATAGGGACTTTCAGGAGAAAAATAACCCACCAAAAGCTAAGAAGTTGGGCAAATGCATCCACCCTTGTGAGGCCTTAGGACAGGGCCCACAGAAATATAAATACAAGCCAAGCTGGGAGATCAGATCTCATCCTCCTGAGTGGCCAAAACCTTTCATAAAATGAAAATAGCAAGTGCCAGTGAGAATGAGTTGACATGGACAAGGCCAAATATACCACAAGCCAAATAACCCAGTAGGAAGAACTTGGAAAACAGGACAAACACACGACCCAGCCTCAAGCTCACATGACTTGGGCTGACTAATACAGAGCAATCGGAAGAAGCTGCTTGACCACTTCTAGAAATTGAAAAACACTTGAAAGGGAAGGGTGTTTATCCAGTAAGGCAGGATGTGCCCATGATATGTGTGACATGAATGAAGGGGCTGGGTGTGGTGGCACATGGCCTGTAATCCCAGAGGCTCCAGAGGCTGAGGCAGGAGAATCGTGAGTTCAAAGCCAGCCTCAGCAAAAGTGAGGTGCTAAGCAACTCAGTGAGACTCTGTCTCTAAATAAAACACAAAATGGGTCTGGGAATGTGGCTCAGTGGTCAAGTGTCCCTGAGTTCAATCCCTGGGACCAAAAAAAAATGAAGGGGAAGAATGACCCTGCTTAGTCAGTTTTCCCAGTTCCTTCCAGACCTCAGCCAGGACTTAAGTTTGATATGCAAATAGAAGAAGCCTGGAGTCCACTCAGTAGGAGATAGAGTAAAAGTGTCTTTTTACCTGAACTCAAACTAGACCAAACCAAAAAGTAAATTGTATGGTATTTACTAATTACTGGCCGGTCATCTTTTTTAGGACTCTTGCTTTTTCTTAGATTCTGTATTGTTTTTTGAGCTCATGATTTTCATCCTACAGACAAGTTACTGTTTTCTAATCAGTTCTACTTTTGATCAACTGTGGAGTTTTTAAACATTGCAATGGAGATTTCACCTGAAAAAACAGCTACAAGGCCTTGTATATGTGTGCACACTTGTGTTATGTGTTGTATGTCGGTATGTCTGTATGTGTGTATGTCTATATATCATGCAGTTATATGACAATTGGCAGATATATGAGGAGCGCTCATAAAAAATTAAAAAAATGGATCCAAATATCTTTGATTCATGTGATTCAAATGGTTCAATTTAAATTGGGTAAACAGATAAAAGTAAAGATATCTTTAAAATTAAGCTTATAAGTTTTTCTAGTTGTTCAAAAAAAACCTAATAAAATGTTGATGTCTATGAAATAATTGCTTAAATTCAGAAATTTACAAGTATTGTTTCAAAATGTGAACAAAAAAGGTTAACAGATGTAAAAGAAAAACTAAAAGGTTCTACATATGGATTTAATAGAGGGAAAATGTGTTTCTTGATAAGAAAGTCTATGTGATTAAGTTAATAAAAGGGTTTAACTAAGTGATAAAAAAGGTCTGTGTAAATTGGTTATATATGTAAGTTTTTGAGCAAGTAATCTTAAAGAAATTAAAAATTATACAACTATGGTTAAACAACAACTGTTATTTTTCAATGTTGTAATATTATTTGTTTAAAAGCTAAACTTGGTTAATATAAAAACATCAATGTAATTATGGTGCTATTAATGTGTTCATATCTTCCAGGTATACAAGTCTGTAAGGTAGAAGCTTCAAAAGAGCCTTATATCAAGCTGGTGTTCTAAGATTGTATGGTAATTTTAGGCTTAAAAGAAAAACATGTTGGAGATTTATTTATATCATTTGTGTTCTATAACTGGACTTGTTATCAATAAGTTATGTAAAGTTCCATGTTACTTTTTACACTGAGATATAATTTAAATGTATTTTTAGTTAATGAGAGCCTAATCTATGTAAAGGTTTTATTGCAAAACACAAAAGTACTTTGCTACTTTTCTACAAAAGGTTAAAAGCTTTCAGCCTTTCTTTAATTCATATTTTAGATGTGATATTATATTGTGTTAGCTAATATTCATGTAAGCTTGAGCAACAATTTATGTAGGCTTTGTAAAATGGTGTCTAAAAAGCAAAGATCAGCTTCAGAACTATAGTATTTAAGATTTATGAAGAACCCCAACTTACTTGAGATAAGGCTGTATGTCCCATCTCATGTGAGAATGAATATGAAAGAAGTAGACCAAATTTCAGTACATTTAAAGTTGTGTCCAAAAGATGGTTTTTGTCATGATTGCCAGGATCTCAAACAGGGGATATACTCCACCAAAATTCAAGGTAGCTATTATATGAACTGAATGTTTTTACTCTTGATAATTTTATTTTGTAGTTTTCTTATAAATGGCTTAAAGATTACCTGTTAATGTTTTGCAGAGGTACTGATTTAAGAACTCACAACCTGGGTTAATTTAAGATAATGAGTTATCACCTACAGGATAGAGAGATAGACATTAAAGCCCAGTACTCTTAGTATAAGGCTGTTGAAACTTATTTGCTGGATGTTTAAGATTAAGTTTTAAAATTAAAGTTAAATAAAAGGGCCAAGAAAACCAATATTTGGCTCTTGCCCTCTGAGTCAGTCTGAATCAGGGAATAGGGTCTTCTCCAAAGAGCTTTGCAACTCTAGGCCACATAACCTCCTGATCAGGGAGATTAATGAGACCAGTGGAGGACAGAAAGCCAATCAGTGCATTTGCTGTGAAGAGGAGGGTCATCAAAAAGGGAGACATCTCTAGGGCTGGGGATGTGGCTCAAGCAGTAGCCCCCTCGCCTGGCATGCGTGCCACCCAGGTTCGATCCTCAGCACCACATACCAACAAAGATGTTGTGTCCGCCGAGAACTAAAAAATAAATATTAAAAAT